TTATTTGGGTGTGTTCTCTTCTTTTTCTCATAAGATTTGCTAAGGGTCTGTCAATTTTGTTAATTTTTTCGAAGAATCAACTCTGTTTTGTTGATTTTTTGTATGGTTTTTTTGTGGATTCTAATTCATTTAATTCTGATTTAATTTTAACTATTTCTTTTTGTCTACTGGATTGGGGTTTATCTTGCTGCTCTTTTTCAAGGAGGCTCAGTTGTCTCATTAAATTGTTGGTTTCAGATCTCTCCAATATGTTGATGTACGAACTCAAAGCTATAAACTTGCCCCTGAGTACTGCCTTTGCTGTGTCCCAGAGGAGCTGGTAATTTGTGGGTTCATTTTTGTTGAATATCATGAACATTTGAATTTCCTTTCTCATCTCTTCCATGACCCACTTGTGATTCAGCAGTGTGTTGTTCAGCCTCCATGTTTTACCGGACTTTCTTTGGTGGCTTTTATTGTTGAGTTCTAATTTTACTCCCTTGTGGTCAGAGAGGATGCAAGGTATAACTTCAATGTTTCTGAATTTGGGCAAGTTTGCTTTGTGGCCTAAAATGTGGTCTATTTTGGAATATGTTCCATGTGCTGCTGAGAAATGTATATTCTGATGCTGCTGGGTGAAATATGCAGTAGGTTTCTGTTAAATCTAATTGATCTATGCAGTTAGATCTGCGGTTTCTCTGTTGAGGTTTTGTGAAGTTGGTCTATCCAGTTGGGAAAGTGGTGTGTTAAGTTTCCCAACAATTAATGTCTTTGGATCTAAGTGCGATTTGAGGGAAGTAGTGTTTCTTGCATAAATTTGGGTGCTCCTTTGTTTGGTGAATAGATATTTAGAATTGTAAAATCCTCCTGAGGGAGAGATCCCTTAGTTAGTATGCAGTGAGCTTCTTTATCTCTTCTCACTAATTTTAATTTGAAGTCTATTTTATCTAATATTAGGATTGCATCTCCAGCCTGTTTATGGGGACCGTTTGCTTGGTAAATTTTGTTCTAGCCTTTCACATTGAAAATGTGTTTGTTTTTATTGGCAAGATGTGACTCCTGAAGGCAGCAGTTAGTAGGATCTTGCTTTTTAATCCAACTAGACAGTCTATGTAGCTTAATTGGAGAGTGAAGCCCATTAATGTTGAGAGATATTTGGGAGTTCCTGCCATTTTGTCCATCATGTTGTATAATTGTATTTTACACATTTATTGACAGGTTACAAATTATTCTCAAATTTTAATACATTAAAAATACTTTATTTTTTTCTTATTTTCTTTTTTCTTTTGTTTTGGTATCAGATTTTTTTTTTAATTGTGAAAATACTGTACAGAGGGTTTACAATCACATGGGCAAAATAGTGAGTACATTTCTTATCAAGCATTGTAGCCTCCTCCTTTGTTTACCCTTCCCATCCATTCTCAGCCTCCCCCCACTCCCCCACCTAATCCTCCCCCCCACACCAAAGTTGTAAAGTTCATTTTCGACATGACAACTTGTACTTCTTATTGCTGAGACGGGTCCACCTGTATCCTTATTTAAACGACTTGATTTTCCCCTTCCCCTCCACAAATTATACCGACAGCAAATACAGAGAAAGACGGGGTTATACTGTGGGGGAAGGCGAGCTCCCCTATGACCCAGAAATCCCACTTTTGGACATTTACCCAAATGTTTACAAACAAGACCACACTACAGCTACCAGCACGACTATGTTTATTGCAGCATTACTTACCATAGCTAAGATCTGGAACCAACCCAGATGCTCCTCAATAGATGAATGGATCAAGAAAATGTGGTATATATAAACAATGGAATTCTATGCCTCCATCAGAAAGAATGACATTGCCCCATTTGTTAGGAAATGGAAAGACTTGAAAAAATCATATTAAGTGAAGTAAGCCAGGCCCAAAGAAACATAGGTCCCATGGTTTTCCTTATTTGCAATATCTAGTATATATATGAGTCAACCAGAAAAGGTCATATAAGGTGATCTTAGGAAAATGAACCCTAAGATATGTATTTAAATGTTTTTTTTCTTTCATGCATTTGTTTCTAAAGCATTTATAATATTATTTTTTCTTATTTTCTTGGCCAGTAAATCAGCAACACCTCAGTCCGCATTTCTCTCATAGAACTTTTAAATGTTTACCTGAGCTCCAGTCTTCTGAGGACTTACTCATCTGCTTAGGAATTGATGCTGGCTGTTGGAAAAGAGCTCAAGGAAGGATGCCATTTAAAGCCTTACAACATTATTCTTCACCAGGGTATTCTCTTGCTGCTTTTGGTTGTTGAGAGTGTCTACAAGAGCAAAGCATTCCATGGGGAGCTAGGAGACACCATATGACCTTATTACCTTTACTTACTGAGATTCCTGTGTGATTTGTTATCACTTGTACTACATTTTGCAAGTCAAATCTGTCAAAACCTACCAGTTTGAAGAGACAATACATCTTTAGTGACAAATACATCTTTAACATATTTGGTTCAAAACATTCCATCTAAGGCATATTCAACAGGTACTGAAACTTGTGCTGGTTGTATCTATGTGTCTTTCCCATATGTCCATGCATACACGTGTATATGTATGTGTATATTTGTGTGCATATATAAGGGCATATACCCACATATATGCATACATAAATAAATGTACATATACAAATATATGAGAATGTATGTATATATGTATATGTATATATAAGGTGTTCAGTGATTTAATCTAGAGTTCCCAGCACATTGTCATTCAAACAAAATGTACATGATAAACTGCTCTGAGGATCACCCATTACCTTGTTTTTCATCCCTGTGAACAACTTCAGCCTAGGATAGCTTTATTTTTGTTACTTACTGATAACAAAAGAAAAAAGTTGTATGTGAAAGAGGAAGAACTTTCAGGTCATAGGTTAAAATTATCTTATCTGTCCCAATGATTCGTATGAGATAAAATTTATAATAGTACTAAAAGTGAAAAGGAATTCCTAGATCTGTTGTTTTGCCATTTAGAATGACAAAGAAAAATTTCACGTCACTGTTATAACTCTTAAAGAATGCAAGCGTAACTGATGGTCCTTATCATGTTCCCACAAAACCAGTGGACCCTGAAGGATAATAGTAGACTAGCAGAAATTATAAGTAGCAGATATGGAGCATGAAAGAGAAAGAGCGGAAATGAGAGTGAAAGAGAGAGAAAAATATCATAATACTTAAAGTGCATAACAGATAAACAAGAGTTTTATGAGAATATTCATACTGCTATCTTGAGACTCTACATGTACATTTGAAGGTATTTGAAGTATAATAACCCATCAATATAAAATATAAAGTGATTTTGATAAAAAATAAAGGTTACTCAGAAGAAATTATAAATGCAAAAAGAATCTTCACAGAAGCAAACTCTGAGATATTTCTTGACTTTTAAAAGGATAAAGTGGCTGAAGTTAGTATAAATTTACAAGAACGCCAATTCACAAAAATATAAAAAGATATTCATATATTTCATTATATAACCCAAAGCAGAAAGCAAATGTTGTTTAGATGACTTTTAAAATACAGTCTCTCAGGTGCTGGGAAGCTGGCTCAGTGGTAGAATGCTTGTCTTGCATGCACTGGGTTTGATTCCTCAGCAAAACATAAGCAGAAAAAGACCGAAGTGGAGCTGTGGCTCAAGTGGTAGCACTAGCCTTGAGCTGAAGAGCTGAGGAACAGCACCTAGGACTCAGAGTTCAAGCCCCACAACTAACAAAAACCAAACCAAAAAACTAAGCAAAACACAGTCTCTCACTTTTGTGGCCCCAACTCTGTAATACCACTGATTCAGCCTAGGGCTAAAATTTTAGGTGTGGACATTTATCAACAATCCTTATTCAGACTCTACTTGAGAAAAATTTTAATCAATACTTTGTTCTTAATTTTGCTCTTTGTAAATTCACATGCACCTATAAAAAATGGTGTGGCCATCTCAGTAACATTCTCAAGGTACATAGTAATGACGACTCACAAAAATTTGTATTATATTATAACAAGGAAAACAATTCTACAAATATTTAAACCAATAATTAAATGTTAATGATTAATAGAATAAAAACCAAATACCAGTGTTTCCAGTATTTGAAGTGTACTACATTCCTGCACATTTAAAACTGGCTAATATTATGATGTTCAACAAGAGATTTTTTGGCTATGAGTAGACTTATAGTTACCCTCTTAGATTAAGATTTATTTTTTATCTCATCATTTATACATGGCTTATGTCATCATTTGTTCCTCCCTAACATATAAAGAAAGGAAGCCCTAAAGTTTTAACAGAAACTTTGTATTTAATGTCTTAACTTTTCACACTCTTTCTTTACACAAAGACTTTGCAACTTCTCATTAGTAATGTTTCTATCAACTCTGAAATGTACATACTTAATAGTATATGTCTGCTACCATAAATCTTAAATACATTATGGAAAAGTTTTATGACCTGCCAAAAGTCTTAATTTTGGCATATATAAGCAAATTCCCAAAATTAAATATATTTAAAACATTAAAACTTTTTGAGGGGAGGGTCCGGTTGTGAGTCCAGAAGTCTGGGCCTGGGCTCTGTCCCGTGGCTCTTTAGATAAAGGCTAGCACTCTACCACTTGAGCTACAGCACCACTTCTGGCTTTTTTTCTACTTATGTGGTGCTGAGGAATCTAACCAAGGGCCTCATGCATGCAAGGCAAGTGCTCTACCACTGATCCACCTTCTCAGCCCAAAACATTAAACCTTTAACAAACCTTAACACTTGCTTCAGTGTTCATTATGACAGGTGCCTTGTATAGAAAAATTGAATTCCTCCTGCTACACATCTCTTGAACAACAAAAACCTGGAATTATTTTGTTTTTGACATATCAATCTTGAATTTATTCTTAAATGTGTGCTTATGTCAGAAATATATGGTTCTAAAATTTCACGACAATACTTTTGAACTTACTTTTTGCTGAATTATCTAGTTTAAGAAAATCAATTCCACATTATAAATAAAAAATGTTCTGTGCTCAATTCAGCAGCACATACACTAAAATTGGAACAATACGCAGAAGAATAGCACGGTCCCTGCACAAGGATGACAGGCAAATTCGTGAAGTGTTCCAAATTTTTACAACAAATGCTGGAGGGGATGTGGCCAGAAGGGAACCCTATTGCATTCTTGGGGGGAGTGTAAACTTGTTCAAACACTTGGAAAGCAGTACGGAAGTTCCTCAAAAGATTCCACATACAGCTCCCCTATGACCCAAAAATTCCACTTTTGGGCATTCACCCAAATGATTACAAATACGACCATACTAAAACTACCAGCACAACTATGTTTATTGCAGCATTATTTACCATAGGTAAGATATATAACCAACCCCGATACCCCTCAGTAGATGAATATATCAAGAAAACCTTGTGTGTGTGTGTGTGTGTGTGTGTGTATGTGTGTGTGTGTGTATGGGAATTCTATCGTCCATCAGAATGAATGACATCACCCAATTTGTTATAAAATGGAAAAACTTAGAAAAAATTATATTAACTGAAGTAAACCAAGTCCAAAGAAACATAGGTCCATGGTATCCCTTATTTGCAATAAGTAAATCTATGTCTGTGATAAGCAGAAATGGTCAAAAGCTATATGCATATGACTAGATAAGGTGATGTTAAGCCAAATGAACCTCAAGATAGGAACACAAGTGTTTTTTTTTTTCTTGCTGTTGTTTTTAATGCATTTGTAATGTACGATGTTATTTTTTTGTTTTTTATATGGACCTCCAACACAGCATAACCCCTATTTTCACAGTATTTGATGTTGGTGCGCCTGCATCTTGTATATACACTTCTCTAATTTGGAGAGGGAAAGGGAAAAAACAAAATGCTTAAATAGAGATACAGGTTGACACATTGAAAAAATGAGATGCACAAGACACTATGTTGAAATACGAACTTTACAATTTAGGCGGGGTTAGGGTGGAGGGGTGACGGGGGGTGAGGAGTGTACTTGTGGAGGTGGAAGGGAAGGGATGGTGGGGGAAAAACAAAAGGGAGGTAACAATTCTTCATAGGAAATGTACTCATTATCTTGCTCATGTAACTGTAAACCCTCTGTAAAGTATTTTTTACAATAAAAAACATTTAAAAATGTTCTGAGGGCCGGGTGCTGGTGGCTCACGCCTGTAATCCTAGCTACTCAGGAGGCTGAGATCTGAGGATCACGGTTCAAAGCCAGCCCAGGCAGGAGAGACCGTGAGACACCTATCTCCAATAAACCACCAGAAAACCGGAAGTGGCGCTGTAGCTCAAGTGGTAGAACGCTCGCCTTGAGCTGAAGAGCTGAGGGACAGCGCCCAGGCCCAGAGTTCAAGCCCCACGGCCGACAAAAAAAAATGTTCTGAGATAGAATAGTTTATTGCTATTATTTTACCCATATAATAACGTTAACAAAGAAATTAATACAAAACACTGACCTGAAGATATTTTGAATAAGTATGTGTGTGTGTGTGCACGTGCACGTGAGTGCATGTGCATGCCTGTTTGTTGGCGTGCTCAGTTTGAACTCAGGGCTTCAAGGTCTTGCTAGGCCTTTCTGCTCTAGATTGGTGAGCTAGTATATCAGCTACATTTCCATTCCTGGCCCTTTTCTAGTTCATTCACATTTTAAAAAAAATAATTTTATGAATTATTTTTTGCCCTGATTGGCTTCCAACACTTATCCACAGATCTCAAGCTCCTGAGTAGATATGCCAAGTGGACAGGATTACAGGTGTGACCAACCCGAACAAGTCTTTAAGAATAATTTTAAAAGTAGAAGAAACTTTACTTCACGGAATCCTCTTTTATCATTTCCTACTTTTAAAGCATTTTGGAGTGATTATATGTGAATTTATTTCGTTTTGGGATTCTTACAAGACAGTAAGTGATGGTATTTAAAAGTTTAAGTACTTTTTTAAAAGGATACTAGAACCGTGGGACAGAAGAAATTGGGCTCTCTTTGGACCTCAATTTATAATCTCAGTCTGGGCATGATAACACAATGTCACCAACACAGTCTGTGTTGAAGACAAAATGTGGCAGAAAGCAATTACCATGTGTTGGGTCTTCGTCCGTCTTTGGACGGATGGGGTCCGAGGAAAGGTAAGTGCAAAGTGGAGCCGCTTGCCTGTTCCCCAGCCTCCATTAGCCCAGGAGACAATCACATGCAGCGGGGAGTCAAACCAAGGAGGAACTCCTTTATTAACAGGGAACATCCCCTTTTTAAAGCAAAAGACTGCATGGGAGGGAAGGAAATGGAACCAACCAATCACTGAAAGGCCATACCTTATCATGCACCTAAGCTTCCATGAGTTGTTTACACATTGAACCTAAACAAATCCGGCTTTGCCCACTCAACTTCCTCTCAGGGCCATCTTTGATACCTGTGTTCCCCACAGATTTCCCCACATATTCACCCTTTTTGTTTTAATGGCAGATCCACCTTCCAGTTAGTTATCTTTTTCCCCTCCTCTGTAAAGGTTATTTTAACAGGATTACATTTGGCCACGCAAGGGGTTGGAGGCAAGTCTGGAAGGAGGTCCCTTGTGCATAAGAACCCGCCCCAGTTACCTCTAATCCCCACCTAGCACAATAATAATCATTAGCCCCACCACAGCTAGAAATTCCCAAGCAGTAAAATTTAAAACAAACTGTGCAGACATAGCAAAGCAATCCCGGGCACCTGGTGTCTTTCAAGTAAGCCACTTCCTTGTACGTGCCTTCAAGAGAGGACAGGGGTCAAAATGACCTTTAAACTTTATTATCAGCTCCCAACACCCTGTCTCTGTTTAAAGAAGCGAACCCGCCTGCCTTAGGTTGGGTAGATCTCCTTGTCTGTCTTACCCTTCATCGGGAACTTCTTCAGAGCAAAGCTGAAGGCCCTGTCTTAGGTTGGTCAGACTGGCACTCCCTCTTACCCATGTCTGGCTGCAGTTCCTCTCGGGGGAACTTTATTCACACTTGGAGCTTGATCTTATGTAACTGGCTGGCTCATAAGAGTTTTGCAGTGCACGTATAATGCAAGGAAGGCATAGAAAAACCATCAGCAAAAGCATTCCCAGGCCACCAATTTCATTAGCCCTTTATCATTAGCCAAGGATGGGATAGCAGTCTTTGCCACTTTAGAGCCCAGAGGTGGGGCTCATTCTAGAGTAGGTTTTAGACATATTTACAGGACACATAACAAAAGGTGGTTGCACAAGCAATTAGTAAAAGAACAATTAGAGCAGGTAACATTAAAATAGATAGCTCCTACAGAAATATGTTTTAAACAGTCCATACGTAATGACATAGGGTGGTGATCAAAATGAAGGTCAGGCCACCAGGTCGAAGGGACAGCTTCTCTTGTGATGCTATTGATGATTTCTGCATTGCCAGTGCTGATCACTGCCCAGGTCACCCGTTGAGGTTGATGTGGATTCCGTAGCCATTGCCGGGACTGGGAAGGTCAGGACAGCCATTAGCTAGAGTATCACCATCTGCAAATGTTAAAGAACACAAGAGCCTCTCAAGGGCTGGTTGCCATTGGGGATGGTTAGTTTATCCTTAGGCATCCTCCTGTAGAGAGGAAATGGGTAAAAACTTAAGGTTCCTGGCAGGAATCCAAATGGGGGCTGTCTCCCCTATGGGAAAAATACATCCAAATCCCCTGTCCATGGTAACTAGGGGGTCAGGTCCTCTCCATTGTTATGTCAGGGGGTCCTTCCACCTGACTTTCACTCGGGCTTAGGGTTTAGTTGTCCCCAGTCAGTTGCCCCTTTTGAAAAATTGAAAATGTTAACTGTATGTAGGGGGTTAACTCCCTCTTTTTATTTTAATTGCTCCTTAAGACATTGGTGATATCTTTTTATAATTGCTTGGCTTTGGGGATTATAGGGAATTCCTGTAGTATGATTAATATGCCATTTGTCAAAAAACTGACATTGTTTTTTTTTGGGGGGGTCCGGTCATGGGGCCTGAACTCTGGGCCTGGGCGCTGTCCCTCAGCTCTTCAGCTCAAGGCTAGCGCTCTGCCACTTGAGCCATAACGCGCCATTTCCAGCTTTTTAATTTTTGCTTATGTGGTGCAGGGGAATCGTACCCAGGGCCTCAGGCATGCAAGGCAAGCACTCTACCACTGAGCCACCTTCCCAGCCCCAAAAACTGACATTGTTTTACTGACAAAACAGGGTCCATTATAGATTTTAACTTGTGCTAGTAGACACAAGGTGGGAAAGCATTGAAGAAAATGTGCTTGTGAATGTTTAGTCCTTTCTCTTGTATGTGCTGTGGCCCAGGGAGAGTTTGGGCCATCCTTCACCACTGCCTGGTGGAGCTCTTTAAGATCCTTAGCTTCCCATGGATACCATTCCAAGGGCCTATTAGCCCCTGGTGCCACATTGACCAGATACGCTTGGGGAAGCGAATCCTGTGGCTGAGAGTCTGGGCTCTTGGGTGGCCCTTCCTTTCCAGAGGAGGTCTCCGAGTAGGTTACTTATCCAGCCCTTGGGCCCTCCATGGGGTAGGGGACTGGGTCCTGCAAGTCCCTCTTGCAGGTCTCGTAGGGCGCCATACCTCCCTTCCAATCAGGGGAATAGGGAGGGGGCCTAGGACCGTCAGGGGCACCTAAGTAGTTGCTTCCACCCCTGCATGCACAGATAGTGTGTTCCTGGTCCAATTTGACCTCTTTTCCTTCTCACTTTCCAAGTCCTCCTGTACTCTTTCTAGGCCTAATGTTGCCTCCTTCTCCTTCTTTGGTGATATAGCATTACCCATACCCCGAATGACCGCTTAGCCCCGGCCATTATCTTTTCCTTTTGTGCCCTACTTTGGGCACCAGATATTGGGTCTTCATCTGTCTTTGGATGGATGGGGTCCGAGGAAAGGTAAGTGCAAAGTGCCGCCGCTTGCCTGTTATCCAGCCTCCCTTAGCCCAGGAGACAATCAGATGCAGCGGGGAGTCAAACCAAGCAGGAACTCGTTTATTGATAGGGAGCATCCCCTTTTTAAAGCAAAAGACTGCATGAGAGGGGAAGAAATGGAACCAACCAATTACTGAAAGGCCATACATTATCATGCACCTAACCTTCCATGAGTTGTTTACACACTGAACC